TGGGAGACACAGGATTTAAGCCTTATATTCAGTATCTGAATCAAAACAAAGGATACTTGTACTTTTCCCTTGCAGCTTTCTGTCACCTGTTGTTTGTCGCTGGTCAGATATCACAGAACTCTTGGATGGCAGCAAATGTTGATGACCCTCATGTTAGCACATTGCGTTTAATTGCGGTCTACCTGATTATCGGAGTTATCTCAGTGCTTTTCTTGCTATGTAGATCAATCTCTATAGTTGTTTTGGGTCTTCAATCATCAAAGTCGTTATTTTCCCAGCTACTAAATTCTCTTTTTCGAGCACCCATGTCTTTCTACGACTCCACACCTCTCGGAAGAATACTGAGTCGGGTAAGCATCTTGCTGAGAAAATGTTGTTTTCTTCACGTGAGATGATGAGTAACTAATTGATCTGGACCTGTGTTTATTTTTTGTCTCATAGGTCTCATCAGATCTGAGCATTGTCGATCTTGATGTTCCATTCAGTTTAATCTTTACTGTTGGTGCAACTACAAATGCTTATAGTAATCTGGGAGTTCTGGCTGTCGTGACCTGGCAAGCCCTGTTTGTCTCTATACCAATGGTTTATTTGGCTATTCGCTTACAGGTAATTCTTATTCACTTATAGGAGTCGTTTTGATTGTTGAGAAGCTTGGCAACAGCTCAATATACATAGTTAGGAAAGTAGACTGAAGGCTTCAAAAGATTAAGAAAAGGCTAAAAAAGTTCTTATAACGAGCTGTGCAATTCACCCAAACTGCCTGTCCTGTAGTTCTTATGAAACCAATGGGATACAGCTTGTGACTATGTAATAAGTGCCGATGGAATGCAACATAACTAATCATTTTTTTTATCAGAATAATTCGATATTTAATGACTTAAATTCCCACATAGGAATGTTGATTGTAGGCTTAGAAAAAAAGGGTAAAAAATTCTTACAATGAGCTTCAAATTTGACCAAACTGCCAAGAGCTTGTATTTCTTCTGAAACCAATTGGATGTCATCCCAACTTCTTTTTAGAACAAGTTTTTTACTACTTGTGACTATGTATGAATTACCAATGCAATGAAACATAACTAATCATCACATGTAGTTAGTTTTAATGACTTGAATTGCCACATATATGTGTTCTGCTTATAAAGGGGACACATGAACTTTCAAATGTACTAGTAATGTTGATATCATGGGTAACACATAAAAAAATTACAGTAGTATTAGTTTAACTTTTACAGGAGTGGAGTCATGTATACCTGAGTTACTCTAAACTGGTGAATTGCTCAAATATAGTGCATCAATTGATTGTATGACTGATAATGGCAGTCTGCTGTCCTGATCTCTTTCTTTTGAGGGCCACTGCCATCAAAGCTGATTTTACATTTATAAAGTGGATTTGAAGATTATCTCATTCTTATCTACAGAGATACTACTTTGCCTCTGCTAAAGAATTGATGCGGATCAATGGCACAACCAAGTCTTTAGTAGCAAATCATCTAGCTGAATCTGTAGCAGGAGCCATGACAATAAGGGCCTTTGAGGAGGAAGAACGTTTCTTTGCAAAAAGCCTGAACCTCATCGACATAAATGCTAGTCCTTTCTTCCACAGTTTTGCTGCAAATGAGTGGTTGATTCAACGACTTGAAACATTGAGTGCAACTGTTCTTGCCTCTGCAGCACTCTGCATGGTTTTACTTCCTCCTGGATCTTTTAGCTCTGGTGAGTATATATGCTTTACTTTTCTCCAACTTTTCTTGAACATATAATTTACGAGCTTCCCCGTTCTGACTCATAGATTACTTCCATTGCTGCAGGATTTATTGGAATGGCACTTTCTTATGGACTTTCTTTAAATATGTCGCTGGTGTTTTCGATTCAAAATCAGTGCACATTAGCAAATTACATCATTTCTGTTGAAAGGCTTAATCAATACACGCATGTACCAAGTGAAGCCCCAGAGGTGATAGAAGATAACCGTCCTCCATCCAATTGGCCATTAGTGGGTAAAGTGGATATTTGTGATTTGCAGGTAAGTTTTACTCCTATGTTGTATTGATGTTTAACGAGGCAGTTGATGAAGGCTAGACGACTGAAAAAGTTTAATATCAAACAGATTAGATATAGGCCTGACGCACTTGTTCTTCGAGGAATCAGTTGCACATTTGAAGGAGGGCACAAGATCGGTATTGTTGGTCGAACCGGCAGTGGGAAGACAACTCTTATTGGTGCTCTATTTCGACTGGTGGAACCAGCTGAAGGAAAGATTGTCATAGATGGCATTGACATCTCTAAGATTGGACTTCATGATCTGAGGTCACGACTTGGAATAATACCTCAAGATCCTACCCTCTTTAATGGGACTGTGAGATACAATTTGGACCCATTATCTCAACACACTGACCAGGAGATATGGGAGGTAATTTTCCAAATCGTTTCACACTAAATCTAGTAAAAATTGCCAATAAACCACTGGATGAGGGATTTATTTTGTGTCTGCATGCTTTTCTAACTTGAAAATTCTGTTTCAAATTTCTTAGGTTCTGGGAAAGTGTCAGCTTCGAGAGGCCGTTCAGGAGAAAGAGCAGGGTCTAGATTCTCTAAGTACGTTTTTTTTTTACGTATAAAGTAAACTATATTTGCATTATTTTGATTGTAATGGCCAGTAAATGATGAGCAACCTGCTGCAGTTGTGGAAGACGGATCAAATTGGAGCATGGGGCAGAGACAACTATTTTGCTTGGGCCGAGCCCTTTTGAGGAGAAGTAGGATACTGGTGCTTGATGAAGCAACAGCATCAATTGATAATGCAACTGACTTGATTTTGCAGAAGACTATTCGGACAGAGTTTTCAGATTGCACTGTGATCACAGTAGCTCACAGGATACCAACCGTAATGGATTGCACGATGGTACTTTCGATTAGGGACGGTAAGTGACCGATTCATCACTTTAATTCGCATGTAAATGCACTTCGATATGGATTTGTGTCTCCTGCATATCTGTGAATATGCTGCTTTGTGTTATTTCATTTAGTGTAGCTATAGCTCCATGTAGAGACATCTCAAACTGCACTAATGAGCTGTTTCTGTTCTATTTCAGGAAAACTAGTCGAGTATGATCAGCCAGAGAAGTTAATGAAGACAGAAGGTTCACTTTTTGGACAACTTGTGAAGGAGTACTGGTCTCATTTACACGCAGCAGAATCACATTGAAAGTTCCTACCCTAGAATTGCTGAAGGGCCAGGGAGTGAGAATGGAGAAGAAGAAGAATAGCAGTTCCTATCCCTAGATTTGCACCTGTATTCAAACATCAAGATTCATAATTTCTACCGGGAAATTGAATACAATCAGCCATTTCTCACAAGCGTCAAAAATAGCTTAATTCTTGTTATTCTTGAGAGGTGAAAATTGAAAAAAAAAAAAAATTGTCAACAAAGTTAATCTTGCCTTTACATCCATCCTGGGAAGCAGGAATTCTTGCATGCATGTAAATCATTGGATCAGTGGACGCTAATTAATTTTTCATCTTCTTAATCTTCATGACTCCTAATATATAATAAAAAAAAAAAAAAAATTCATTCTTACTTTAATGTGTCTTGTTAAGGTTTGAAAAAAATAAAACTTCTGGGTTGTCAGATGATGAGGTATTGGACCTGGGCTTTGGTAAATTCTGTTTAGTACAGCAAATAGGGATGTAGGCCCACAAAAAATGCTATGTGAAAAAGGCCTCCAAGGAAACATCAGCCCAGATAAGTATTTAAATTCCGTTTTTAATGCATTTGTAAATAAGTAATTTATCCTAATAAAATCTAATATGTTCTCAATCATTTTTTTCCTTGTATATATTCAAAATTTCTTCTAAAAAAAACAGAAGAGATTTTTCATTGATTTTTTTTTATCATGTTTTAAGCCATTATTTAAATATCAAATTTCAGAAAAATCATAATAGAAAAACTTGATAACATGAATATATATTTAATAAAATAATTAGAAACCTTATATTTAGTAAAATAAATTGGGATTCTTTCTGAGATTAGGATAAAGATTCTAATCTTAAATTTTATAATTTTTCCATACTACAATTCTCATAAATACTTGTTATAATTTAATATTTCTTGTACCGGTCTCGTCTACAAGCAGAAGAATCACTTTGAAGCTGACAATTATGTCATACTGCAGAATCAATTTGAAGCTGACAGCAAAGAGAAGGGTTCCAGGGTAAGGTATAAAGTAGGACGTATAGTCTCACACCATACAGTAGGGCAGAGGAGGAAGAAATATGAAGGAAGAGAAACAGAAGTCACTAATCCTAATCAGTTTTCTACTTGTATTCAAATATCAATTTCCGCTAATTCTACTTTACAATTCAATAAAACTTCCCTATATGTATCCACACTCCATATTGTAGCTAACCCATTATTTGAATTTTCTTTCGATCTTATTTGGCTATGAGATTCATTTCCACTTTCAACTTGCAAAACTTTCTTTCCTCTCTTATCTACTGCTTATTTCAATCTGAAGGAAGTACAATTGTATCTACAAATACTTGCAAAGGAAGATTAGTTGTGGTAGTTCGGGGACATTGCCGAAATCATCAGTAATAACTAGCTTCTGGAGTTGAATCCAGGAGCTCTACGAAGAATACAGAAGATGGCGCTACAGAAACATTAACTATAGGCTTTTGCTTCTTCCTATTTTGCTGCTGCTTTTGTCCTGATAAATGATGCAGAAGCCGTAGATTCTTATGGCATAAAGACATGTTTCTCTGTTTTCCAATGATGAAGCAAAAAGAGGATATGCTTGACTGAGACCAAAGAGGGAAGCATTTACCAATCATCCAAGCCAACTGATAAGGGACTGGGCAAGTTAGGATACATAAAAAAGGAAACAAGGAGAGCTTGTGCTCAGAATGAGAAAATAGAATGAACACCATGCAAGCCCTATGAGATATTCTCATGAATAAACTGTGAGACCATTCAAAAGATGAAATGATCGCATTCATTTTCTTTATGGTCCTCCAAGAATGGCATTTTCTATATCTTCTCTACTCAATGCGTAACTGAATCTCCTCTCCACATCCTTTTCAAGATTCCCAGGTCCATTCTTCAAGTACCTGCATCAGAAGATACATTATGTTTAGCCCAACAATAAATCTAAATGGATGAAATGCGTAACTGAGCATGACAACTTATTTCCTCCCTTTTGCATCAGATGATCATCACAGAATCCATTTCCAATAACAAAATCTAAGTACCCTAGATAAACAATGATATCTTAGTTTGTGCAATTTGATAAATCGATCGATTAGTCCGAGCAGGTTGAGAGTTCAAAATTTGAATAGCAAGGGAGAATAGGGAAGAGTGAAGTTTCAGGCAAGCTGCAGCACAAATTAAACCTCGTTTTCCGCTTAAAGCTATCCAGCTTCCTCCATCGTTCCTTATCCTCTATTGAATTTCAACCAAGATTCCAAAATGTTATTGTTGCACTGGCCCTACTCTTGAATAGGTTCCATCAACTTGATATTTTAGAAGACTGATGGTAGAGAAACTTCGGTTATACAAAATTCAAAGTCCTGTACTCATCATTACAATAGTCAAAGGTATACAATATCTAAGAATATGGAAGCTGCCATTTAAATTGAGAACATAATATGAAAATCAGGGCTCCTGTCCTAATTTTGGAGAGTTAGTCCAGAACTTTCGCACCAATGACATTCGACCCATTGATATTTGCTGGACAGGCTAACCCTTCTGTTAACTTCCCTATTGTCATTGATCAATAGCACCTCCAACATCCCACATATTGGTACCAATTTCCTTCACGCAATCACTAACCCATCCTGATTTTATCATACTTAAATCCTTTTTCTTTACATGATCTATGAGCATGAAACTATTTTTCTACATGATCATGAAATAACTTGTGATAGTCCTGTAACTTCTCTCCATTGTGTGGGTATTTTCCATGCAATCATCTATCTAGCTCCAGCTCAAGTAGCACTGTGCCTTTCACCACCCGTGCACACACAATTTATCCAAAGCAACACAAACTGATCACGTTTAGGTATCTTTTAGTCATCAATTAATCCCTAGCTCTTCCACAAAATAGTGAATAGATACTCTTACAATTGCTATTAGCTAACCCTGAAACTCTATTTTATACATAGCTGCAGCATTTCTAATCTTATCAAATCACCACAATTTATTCATTCAAATCGTAAATAAACTACCAATGTTTCGATAATATGGTTCTACACCATGTTATTCTTCTTCCCCAAAAGCAAACCTCACATTAGCACAAACCTCTAACACACTTGCTAGATTACTTCACCAGTGTACAACAAGACTAATTGAGAAAATATGGATATAATGAACTGTTTTTGTAGATCAAATGGATAGGTACTGACAGTGAATCTTCAGCCTTTTGCTGGTCCAGAATGGTTTTCATTACGTCAACCAAATTATCATATGGTAGAAATCCCTCTACATCATCTCACCTCACCAAATCCCTAGAGTGAAACTAGTTGGGACCAGCTAGATCCTTTTCACCAATTCTGTTTGGTCTTGGGCTGCAGAATTCCCACCACTAACAAGAATAATATCAATTTGATCGTTATACAAACAGTTTCCATTGGGCTTATGTAATCAAAGATTGGCAAACAAACTTCGAGCAATAGCTACAACAAAGCAACCATTGACTTGTCAGATTGTAGCAAAAGCCATCAGAAACTCTACAAAACCACTGGACTTAATTTAATGATAGCCATGATATATCTAACCCACAGCATCTGCTGTTCACTAATTCAATCTAAATAAACACCAATTTTTCCACACTAGCACAAGTTTCCTTGTTTTCTAAAAAATCCTAATCACGTGTAGAAATCACTCAACCTACTCATAAGAATGAAACCAAATTATCAACATGATACGAAAAAGCACCTATCAGGTAATCATTCACAGTAAGAGTTCAATAGACTACAACACACCTGTGGCAATTCACCAAACCTCAACGATCAAATGCAAAGTTTAAAACTTGACAACAATTACTCACATAAACTAAAAAGCTCAACACTAATAAACAAAACAACAAAAACCCAGATGCTGAAACAAAAAAAAACAAAAAACAAAAAAAAAAAAAAACCCAACTTTACTTTATATAAAGATCAGTGACATCAAGTGATAATTGAGCATGCCAATCAGGTTTCTCAACAAACCAAACAGCCTGGTTCTCGTTGCTTTGAAGAAACCCCAAATCCTTCAACCAAGCTTCAATGCAAGGCAAACTATGAGAGTACAAAGGCTTTTTCTTGTCAGGGAGTCTTTGTAGCCACTCATCATCTGTTGATGATATCTCCTCTGCCTCTGATGATTTTAAAGAAACTATTCTTTTGGGTTTTCTTGGAAACTTACAAAGAGGAAAAGAACATGCCGGAGATTTAGAGAAAAGGGATGGGTGCAATGAGGGAAAGTGAGAGAAATTGGAATGATGAGTAGAAGTTGAAGGGTGTGAGGAGAGGAGGATGTTAGCGGTGGTGAGTATGGAAGAAATGGTAGGCATGTTTTTTTCTTTTTTCTTTTTTCTTTTTTTTTCTTTCTATCTTTTTTTGGTTCTGCTCTTATGGATTCATTTAATTATATGCTGAAATTGGTTTGGAAAGGGGAAATTTTGGTGAAGTTTGGAGGGAGAGTGATCGTAGTGTGCAGAGAGAGTGAGATAGAGATTTTAAACGAGCACAAGAGACATTCGTTATCTTCAATTTGGGGAAGTTTTAAGGAGTAAATTATAAATTAGTCCTTCAGTTTTGTAAAATAAATTAAATAGCCTCTTTTATTTTAAAAATTAATATTAATATTCTGAATCAATTTTCAATCCGTCTCTGAAAAAACGACTTTAATTTGCCTTTTATGTTTTGAGTAGTTTGTAATTTATCAATTTTGTTCAAATTTTTTACTAATTTAGCAAAAATTAATTTTCATATTAATAAATATACATCATTTGTGTCAAATAATAAAGATAATGTTATCAAATTATATATTATGTGCAAATCACATATTTAATTTATGATGAATTGGTTGAAAATTTTAACGAAAAGGATAGATTAAAAAATTGTTTATCATTTTTTTTTTTTATATTATGTGTAACCCAAAACATAAAGATGTATTGAAAGTGTTTTTCATTTTTTATTTTTTTTATAGACAGATTAAAAAATTGACCTATTATATAAGAATACGTAAAAATATTAACCCTAAAAATTAATAATTAATTCCTTAATCAATGTAAATTATAATAATTTAATATTCTTTTTATCTTATATTTAGTTTATAAAGTGATTGAGTTTTATAGCAGTATTGTTACATCTAATCAAACTTGTTGGATTGACTCGATAAATTTCCTGAATTCGTGCTCTAGATGTGAGATTAAGTTTATAATCAAACCAGAAGAACCATTAGCCAATCAAACTTAATTGATCTAATCAAAATTATATCAATTTGATTATTGATTCGACCAAAACTTGGTTGAGTAAAAAATTGAAAAAAAAAATTGTTTTTTATCCTTACTTAAAAATGAAAAAACTAAATTTATGAATTAACTATGTATTCTCCTCTTCAGAATTATTTACTTTAAACTTTTTATTATAATCTCATCAAATATGAATGATCGACAAACGATATTATAAAATAAGAAATTTTAAAAAAATATGAATTATTAATTGATAGCTTTATAAAACAGAATCTGAAAAAAAAATCTAAAAAAAAAATTAGAGAATCTGAATCAAGCCAAATAAATAAAAAGTACAAGATGTGGAAAAAAACTAGTGTCTTACTCTCGAAGAGGCATGGCTTCTCCAGCACAAGAACCTTTAAAGGTCATTATGGCATTTTCCTCGTCATTTTCTCCATAGGATTGCTAATTTTTATCAAGTCTTCATGACGTACAGCTTAATCACTGTAGTCCCTGGAGGTCCAATGGAGGAGCTAAACAGTTTCAAGGTCTCAAATTATAATGGCAAGTCCTACCTAGAATCAATATTTACAACCCTAAGGATTTTTCTGTAAAAACTCAATCTGAACAGATACAGAGACTTCAATCTATTACAAGGAAGAATATTTACTAATAGCTTCAGGCTGTCTCGAGCCTTTTTCCCTACAGCCGTGGAGAAACCAAGAAAAGGTATGGAGAATGAAATAAAAGCTAAAGGAACTGTAACATCTAGTTTCAGAATGGTGGTGGACACTGCATTCAAGCGGGGTTCATGGTGGAAAAGGCATGAAATGTTAAGGAATCAAGGTTCTTTCGGGTTCGACAAACAATGGCGAAGCAGCTAGTTAAGGACTCGGATATTGCCAAAACATTAATTCAGTTCATAAATCAGGTGTTTCCAAGCCATTTTTGTGCACGTTGCTTTGTATGCTATGGTTTTGGAATTTCAGATCGTGATGCATTTTGTTCAAACTGTGCGATTAATCAAGATTGAAAGGATATATAGAAGATGTTTGCAGATATTTTTAGTGTTTCCTGAGTTGAAAATGCATGTGCAATGATGAAATCTTAATTTGTAGCTAAATAAATGGCTTTTTAGACGTTCTGCATTGTTTTTCTTGTTTTCAGTTTTACAAGTTCTTTTTGTTCAGCAATTGTATTGCATCAGTCGATTGTTTTCAAAGGAAATTTTTAATTTTATATATTTAAGCTTCACATGTACCAGAAAAAAGATAACCAACGGTTAGAGAATAATGGATAACTTGCAAAAATGAAACAGCTAGCTTCCTCATGTACAAAGGTTTTTTTTTTTTTTTTCAATAATCATAATAAATAAAACTTTAAACTTAGTTAAAAAGAAAAAAGAAATTACACAATATTTTTTTCGTTTTATCTAAATATCTCCATCTCCATCCTACGTTAGAAATAAAACTAATTTTATTTGAAAAAAAGCATTAAAATTTAACTTTTTTAAATAAGTGTAATTCCAAAATTCGAATTATACATATTAATAAAAAATTCACTTGAAAATCAATTTGTTTATCATTGGATCAACATACATTCCAATACATTTACAGAAAATATCAATATAACATATTTGTATTTAATCTGTAAAATTATTTCTTGAAACTTAGTTAATAAAAAAATAATAATAATAAGCAACACATAGTTTCAAACTCAAGCACAAAATTGGAATTTTAAAGGAAACAAAAAAAAAAGTAAAAAACAAAAAGCCCAAATAAAAAATGTCCACGACCACGAGGCCTATATGCCATGTGCTTGCAAAGCCTTTGATCAACAAAAATGAAAAATATCATCCCGCCAAAGAAAACCCCAAAATCCCGCCCTTTCTCCTCCAACCATCCTTGCCACCCTCCTTTTCCTCTCTCCTCCTCCTGCCTCCTCCCTCCTCCGCCAGCAAATTTTCAGCCATGGCAGATCCAATTACAGACTACACAAAAACCCAACGCATCCTCCTTCTCATAGACCTAGCCCCACTTCTCCACTACTCCCCAAACCCTTACATCACTTCCCTTCTCTCTTCCATCAAACCCCTTCTCTCTTTCCCTCCCCTTTCCACTTCTCTTTTCTCTTTCAAACTCTTCTTCTCCTCCCTTTCCCCTCTTCTTTCCTCTTCAAAACTCCCCTTCTCTCCTCTTTCCCTCTCCTTTGACCACCCAAACAACACACTTCACTCTCTCTCGACTTCTATCTCTTCTCTCTTGCCTAAAATTGAGCAATCATCCTTCTCTTCGCTTTCTCCGAGAGCAATCCACGTGGCTTCTATGTTGCGGGAGATACTTCATGAGTATGCCTGGGACTCTGATTCGTGTGATTCTTTCATGGGTATGTCTCAAAATTCTGATTCTTTTGTTATTAAGTCTAATTTGGTTATTCTGTTTTCGTCGATTTTGAGGTCTTTTAAGTGGGTTTCGGAGTTTTTTAATGTGGAATTGAATGGTGGGTGTTTGAGAGATGGGAATTTGTTTGATGAGAAGTTTTGTGGGGTCTTTGGGAGTGTTAATGAAGGGTTTGCCGGTAAAGACATTCACTTTAGTTGGGTTGATGTGAAATGTGAAGTTGGATGCGTTGGTTTTGATGAGTCCGAAGTGGCTTTTGAGTTTTTTGAGAAGGGGATTAAGGGTTTAGGTTGGGGGTTTTGTTCCAGTGATTCTATTGTTTTAGGTTCTGCCCTTGTTCCTTTTGGTTTGATTTATCCTAAGATTGGTGTTTCTCAAAAAGTTTTTGATTTTAATGCTTGTTGTAAAAAAGTTTCCTTGCAATTGTGTCTTGAGATATTAGATGTGAGTGAAAAGCCTTTGGAATGTAAGTGTTGTGATCTTGAATTGGTTAACTTGGACATGTTTTCTAGATTTAGCCAGAAATTCATGGATTCACAAACAGGTAGTTGTGAACGAAAGAAAATAGTTTTGGAAGATTTAGGTGGTGAAATTGGGAAATTACATGTTAAGGCAGTCCATATGTATAATAAAGGTGTAAAATTTGAGGGGTCATTATCGGATCCAATCCTCATACGTGAGCTTTCAGGGGATTTTGAGGAAGATCGAAAAGAAAATTGCAGTGAGTTGTTTGAAGTTAAGGTCCTGGAAATGTTGGGAATTGAAATGGGTGAGTTTGTATCTAGAAAATCCACGCCCATCTGGCAAATTCTCTTGAGTTTTCTTTACAGAGAAGGTTATTGGGCTTTGGTTTCTCTTTCAAAGTGTGATGGGAACTCTGTTACAGGAATCCTCAAGCCTTTCACAGTTTCTTCAGCTCTCTTCTTTATTGTAGAAGATGAATTTCACCCTCATGGTGTCGCAGGTAAATTTGATGGAGTTAGTTTGGGTCAAGTTGTTAAGAAAAATGAGGGTTGCATACCAAAAATCAATTTGAGCCACTCCCATGGACTTATTCTTTCTCGTTCTGGGCACTCACCATCTGCTAAGTGTGCTGAACTAGGAGGCAGTAAAAAGAAGAAGAAAAAAAGGAGTTTAAATATGCTTCAGGAACTGACGTGGACTGTGTTCTGCAAGGCTGCACTGGAAGATTTTCAGATAGACTTAGGAGAGGTTTATCTAGCCAGGGGATGCAATAAGTCAAAGAAGTTGAAATTCCTGAAATGCTGGATGAAACAGATTAAGAAATCTAGCTATTGTAGCTGGGCCATGCCAGACAGTTCCGATCCATGTCAGCACATCACAAAAGAAGTACATGACAGATTAAATGCGTTGCCTCCGGAAAGTGAACAGCCAGTAGCTTCTTGTGCTTCAATGGGAGAGGATTCTATGACAGGGGCATCCAGAATACAGGATGAAGTTGCTCTTGATTTTTGCTCAGAAACTTTGGAAAGTTTTTTCAGTGACCTTCCCCACAAAATCCAGCAAGGGCTTGAGTCTGAAGTAGTAGACCTAGGGACATTGGCAGAGCGGCTGGTTAATGCATCTATTTATTGGTTATATCAAAAGTGTGAAAAGGAAATGACCTCAGAGAATCAAACCACCGATATAAAATCTGGCAATGCTTCTGCTACTGTAGTTGCTATTGAGCTAACTAAACTTCTACTTAAGGAGCCTAAAGATTTGGCTGCTATTTACAAAAATAACGAGGCATCTAACCTTAGTCCTACTGAGACTACATCAGAAAATATAGTTAGAGAGTATCCTTATTTTTTCATTTGCTCCATATAATTGTTCATGTTATCTCTTTGTTTTTCTTCCATTGTTTGTCAATCACTTGTCAAGGTTGACAACTTGCTCCAATGATGATGATACTTTCCTTAATCAGCCAAAGATATGAACTACAGATTTTGTTCCGTATGGAGATACTGCAATCAGAGGTTGGAGCAAGTATTGGAGAGACTACAAAACATAGGTTTGTGAAACATATTTGCTTGCTTTTAGAGACCATTCAATGCCATCTGAAGGGAGGCTTTTTTGGTGATTGGAGCCTTGATGCATACGTGGGAAAGATCATAAAAAGCAGGTATTCATATCTTTACACAAAGATCAAAAAAATTTATTCCTGAAACTATCTACTGTCAAGCACCTTTTGGTAATTTCTGAAGTTTACTCTTGTTTATTGTTTTGTGCTATACAAAATGAGCATCGCTGGTGCCTGCTATTTCTTCTTTCTTTTAACATTTATTATTTTGTGCCTTTACTCTGTACCATTTCCTAAATCCCAAATGTTGGGGGAGCTTCTTTTATTGATATAGGAACATTGATTTGTGGAATCTGCTTGCTACTTATCTACATGGCTTATCAATGTAGTGATTGTAACTGCACTATGTTCTGGAACTTCCTTCCCTCGAAGCCCTTTACCAATGATTGTTTTATGTTGCCACTGGGACATGATGCACATTCCTATTCATTTGAAATGCATGTTCACCTCATAATATACATATTGAGTTTGCATGTGCGCTTTCCATTGTTGCTGAGGAGAAGGATGATAAGCACAGCTAAATTATATGTTTGAATGCACGATTTTTCAGGTACTCTCAGAGTCTTGGTGGTGTTGTTCACAAAATCTATGAAAAAATGGATTTATTGGTGTTTTCTGAGGAAGATGAATTACCTAATTGTGTCCTCAACAGTGAGGACAATAGTCAACCCCAAAGAGAAGAAACAGAGCGAGAACAAATGGATGATGATAATAATAGAATTAAGAACACAGTCTCAGCAGCAGATGAGTCCCTTCGACAGGTGGAAACTGAGTGTCAAAGCCCCCAAGGGATGAACCAGGAGGAGCATGCTCGAAAACTAGTTGAAGCTCAAGCAAGGAGACAAAGGGCTCGAAGATTTGCATCTTTCACTAGCTGGGTTCCAGATTTGCAGAGAGTTTGGGCACCAAAGCAGCCAAAGGCAGTGAAGCCGAAGTCAGATCCTCTACGTAAGCTGGCAAAAAGAAACGAACAAAGAAGGACTAGCTATGATGTGGTTTTAGACACCCCAATGACTGGAAACAAACGTTCATGCAATGAAGGAATCAGCAGTGAAGACAGGAACGGCCGAGATTATGGGACTTCCTTATGTGGTTCTGTTTCTAAGGCTTTGTTTCAAGATGATGACTCAAGCTAAGTGCAACAGTTCTTACTGTGGCCCGATGTTCATATTTCAATTTTTTTTTTTTTTTCATATAAGGGACGATAACCTTTGATGAAATTCATAAAGGCTTAATGGTCATGCTTACACTTACATTTTAGCACTAGTTCAGAGGTAATTCTTTTCTTCCATCATACTTTATCTGCCTGTGTATATTTGAGCTCGAAACGATATAATTTTAAGCGAAACTGTTGTGTTTTACAGCCAATATTACAGTTGTTCTGTACGTCGACGGAAGAGAGTGCTATTCTTTTTCCAGATCACTTTTATCACCTTTATTATTTTTCAGTTTCATTTCTCTTTATTCCATATAATTCTCACTTTCAATGATGTATTTGTCATTTTGGAGTTCCTAGCTGAAGGTAATCTATTGTGTTTGTCATTTGGAATACCAATCCTGGGACTCCATTAGAATTACCAAGAGTCTTCTTGTTTGCAGTGATCGCCTTGTTGCTACGATGCTTATCTGCCAGTTTGCCGAGAGTGAAAATCATCATTCTAATGCTCTTTTAGCCACCATTTTCATGATGGGAATCATCCAGTCTGTGTGATTATTTTGATATCCATGTGTTTCTTACCTTACAGTCTTGTCTTGTTTAGCAAACACTCCATTTTTCTGAATGTCCTTTGCTGGATTGAACGGGACTGGATAATGCCATGATTTTAACCAGGCTAAGGTCTGAAGTTGGGCTTTAAACATTTGTCCAAAACCCACACTGAGATTGAGACAAACAAGAAGGCCTTTTTACGTTTTGGGCTTTTTCTAAAAGGAAACAGAAAAAGTGAGTGAACCATCTACAGAAGGCACTGCTCAAAATTCCAAGCTATGGTCAAAACGTTAAGCTAAGCAATCCATAAATTGCCTAACTTCTCTAATATTCATGGAATTTGTGATCCTTCAAAGAGCATATGCCATGAATGTTCACATACTTCCAGTTATATCTGATAATTTAGCAGTGTCTATCTCTCACGTAACGAATCCGTTATGTTCACTTGGTCATTGAGATTTTTCAACATTGATGGCTTTTCGATAAGACAAGACTACGGTTCTTGACAAACTATCACACACTCCAGCCTCTACCAGACTTCTCAGGAGTAACGCCTGTAATGGAATTGTTGAAAATGATCTTTGTAAATTTTCTTCCACAAGCTGCGTTTGTCGGTAGCAGACACAGATTGTAGAAATTGTTTGTATCAGGCTTGATCAATTCAAATTAATGACTTGGCCACTGAATTCTTTACTACTAAGAGATAGTTAGCAACTTCTTTTTTCTACTTATTTGGGAAGGAACGGAAACAATTTCTTATCCTACAAGGCACCGTTATTAGACTTTTCTACCTTGAACAGTGCAACATGCATGATCCTCGAAGCTATAAATTGGTAACCTCTCCACCATTGTTGAGCCACAAAACAAGCTTATATAGATATTCAAAATGGCTTTCCATACACAAGCTCTTACCCTAGTTCTATCCCTCTTGATTGTCTCCTTGTGCAAGCCCTCATATGGTGCAGGCATTGCCATTTATTGGGGACAAAATGGCGGTGAAGGCAGCTTGGCTGATACTTGTAACTCAGGAAACTATCAATTTGTGAACATAGCTTTCCTAACTACTTTTGGCAATGGACAAACTCCAGTGCTAAACCTGGCAAGCCATTGTGACCCCGCTGCCGGTACTTGCGCTAGCTTAAGCACTGATATTAAAGCTTGCCAAGGTAAAGGCATCAAAGTGCTCCTTTCTATCGGAGGTGCTTCAGGTTCCTACTCTCTTTCATCCGCCGATGATGCAAGGCAAGTTGCAAATTATATTTGGAACAACTTCCTTGGTGGTCAGTCCAATTCACGTCCGCTAGGTGACGCCGTCTTGGATGGTGTTGATTTTGATATTGAGGCTGGCTCAGGCCAGTTCTGGGATGACCTTGCTAGGGAACTTAAAGGCCAACAAAGGAAGGTGAGCTTAGCTGCAGCTCCACAATGTCCCTTCCCCGATGCTCATCTAGACACTGCAATTAAAACCGGCCTATTTGACTATGTGTGGGTTCAATTCTACAACAATCCTCCATGTCAATACTCAGGCAATGCAAACAATTTACTAAGTGCATGGAACCAATGGACCACAGTTCAAGCGAATCAAGTATTCTTGGGACTACCTGCGGCTCCTGCTGCCGCCCCTAGTGGTGGATTCATCCCTGCTGATGTCCTCACTTCTCAGGTTCTTCCATCTATCAAGACTTCACCCAAGTATGGTGGTGTCATGCTGTGGAGCAAGCAGTACGACAATGGGTACAGTGCAGCTATAAAGGGCAGTGTCTAAGTTTTGAAGCCTTGCTCTTCATGTTGTCAGCTTAATTATGTTATTCTGAGTGTAGCATTCACTTGCTGACAAAAAATATATTGCTGTGTACTTGTACTTGATCTCACACTAAATAAAACAAAATTATATTTCTTGATGAGAAAAAATAAACGTATATTGGTGTATTATCTTTAGACATGAATTTAATATAATATACCAATGAATTAATGTTCCGAAGTTGATCTCTAATTATCTTCTCAACATAAATTTTTAGTTTTTTTCAATAGATTGGTTTGGTGAAACTTATTTTAAGTTCATTCTTGCTTGTTTTGTATAACGTCCGTCAATCGAGATACCTCACTCGAAGGGTCACGACCGAATAGGTCAATACTAAAACTCCTATGTTTTTTATTTGCTTAAAATTAAGTTCTTGATTTAATCTTATTTATCTTTAAATATGTCAATTTAAGATATATCATTAATAATATATAACCATAAAATTTTCTCATTAACATAAAGGAAGTGTTATTCTAAAATTTTATCATTTATAAAATATATCTCATCATAATTAACATTCCTAAATAATCTTGTCTCAATATTCATACGCAAATTATAAGTAAAAGTTTTCAACATTCGTAAGTTTAACATCATTACACTTATTATTTTAAAAATAAATATTCATCTAAAGCTTAACCTAATCTTTAGGAACACGTAAAAACGAGACACATGAGTTACTGGTCACCGAAAGCGAGCATCAACATCCTCAACGTTTGCATCATTACTTATACCATAGAACGAACATGAGATACGAATATCCTAATAAGTATAACATGTATGATTTTACATTAAAACTTTTTGTACATGAATGTCTTTAAAATTCTTTTCCTTATTTGGGTCCGCTAGAAGATACTAACACCGTTTAGCGGGGTTATAGCCTCGATAAAACATGCATAAAAACATTTACTTTATCGTTTAACGGTTAAACCTTAACCTTTAAATTTCAACGTTTATGCCTCAATAGGCAACCTCAACCTTTAAATGCATTAAAAAAATAACATCATTCGTTTACTTAAAATATTTTCTTTTAATCAACATATAAAATATATGCATGTGTATGAAAACATCTCAAGATCATCACATCACATCACATCAATCACATAAAACTACATAGCATTTACGTCCATGATGTATGTAAATTACACTTACTTAATTCGCTTAAGACCACTATTTATCGTAACCTTTCTCTAAAAATCGATACCTCAACTTAATTCAAACCTTGAACACACACACTATATAACATAAAAAATTAAATATTATTATTTTATCTCTAATCATTTAATTTTTATTAATTCCTATTCTTTTCTTCTAATTTCTTTTAAATTAAAAATCCTAATTAAATCATCAACTCTACTTTAATTTATTCAATTCTCTTCTAATTATATTCATATAATCTAATGTTATTATATTTTAACTTAACCTTTTTCAATTCTTATTTAAATATAGTTAATCATCAAATATTCTAATAAAAATGTAAGATTTTAATACTAAAGTATAATTTTTACATAATCAATCATAAAATTTCAAACTCAATTCTACATAAAATCACATAGAAATAAATAATTAAATATTTTTCTTACCTTAAATATTGAATCACCAACACTTGAATCTTCTTCCAAATAACTTTGACTTCACTTTTTATTCAATTATATTCTCTCTCCCTCTCCCTGTCTCTTTTTTTTTTTTTTTTTTTGAAATATAAACTTATGAAATGCTTTCCTAAACGAGGAGAATGACACCTTATATATAGGCATGAGAAGTTGAAATATTTAAGAATTCTAAGTACATGAATTAAAAATAATAAAAAACCACTAAATTTCTTCTTTTATGGCTACTAAATGGCTTTCTTTCATGACTACTTTCTTTTCTTTCATAACCACTAACCTTCTTCTTTTATGACCACTTTCTTTAATGGCCAATAACCTTCTTCTTTTATGGCCGCTTTCTTTTCTTTCATGACCATTCATGTCTCCTCTTTAATTTTAATAAATGTTTCAAAACTTTTGCTCTTCTTTCATAGCCACTAACATTCCCTTTAAAAACTAATAAAACTTTTTATTATTTCATTATTATTTTATTAATTATTATTAATATTTTAATCCTTTAATTCCTAATAGCTTAGGCTAAGATTATAGGATTAATTCTTATATATAAAAAAATACTATCTATAATACCCAAATATATATATATATATATATATATATATATATATATATATATATATATATATATATATATATAATCATCATATCATCTAAATACATAAAAATATTAAATTACATACACAAATAAAGCACATATGCACACATAGACACACCATATATTATCATGCCAAATTTTTGGGTATTACATTTAGTATATGCATATATATTTGACAAAAATCTAAAAGAGACAACTTTTTTGATGCTAAGGCTCGTTTGTTTGGCGAAAAATAACTTCCAATAAAAAAAAAAACACAATTCTGGAGAAGCTATTTTTCAACAAAATATTTTTTGACGTTTGCCAATTACTTGAAAGAACTGTTGAATAATATATTTCAACATTTATTTAATACAAAAAACTAAAATATAAAAACAAGTCGTGATTGTTACACTAACGAGTTTTAAGGAACTTCAACAAGACATATT